AGCTAGGCTGACACCACAGCACTCTAGCCCAGGCAACAGAATGAGACTGTCTCAAAATAAATAAATAAAAATAACAAGGATTGAGATGAGAGGACTGGGGAATACAACAGTCTATTGCAAGGGCTACCCAAGCCTCCAGTGCTGTTCCCTGCACTGTTCTCCAAGGCAGCATGGGTCTCCAGCCACCAACAGCTTTTTCTTCCTTTCAGGCTGAGTCAACCTCCTGTATTCTATTTAACTCATGTAATTTCTGAATGGGGGCAATTTTCCAAACTACACCTTATGTATTAAACTTAATTTTAAAAATGCTGACGAGGAAAGCCCTGTCTTGGGAAGAAGTGCCAGTAGGTGTGTCTTATTGGAAGACACAAGTCAAGGTAAGTTACATGACTCACCATGAAATATCAGAAATGTAAGTTTGGAGATTTTTTTCCCTTTTACTATCCCTGAGCCCTCCCCCCAACATGACAACTCCTCTAGGATGAGACTGGTACCCAAGGCCTGACCTAGCTGCCAAAGAGCTCCAGAGACAGATGAACTGTGTGTCTCTCCTCAGAGTCAAGGTGGCAGTAGCTCCTTCAGTGCACAGCTCTGGCCATTTGCTTCGAGAATGAGGCCCAGAGCCTGCCCTGGATCCCTAGCTCATGGCCGTGGGTTGGTGACCTCTTCCCTGCAAACATATTCAGCTTCTTCCTCTGTGGTTAATAAAAAAAAAGGCACTAAAAGGTCAGCTTTGTCACGTGAATGGAAAACATATTCCACTTTAATAAACTTAAGAAGTCATCTGTGCTACATTAGAAAAGGTACCGGTAAGGCCTGGTAGTCTCAGAAGCAGGTTGCCAGGGGCTGACTCTACCTACCCTGCAAGACCCGCCAATGGTCGAGTCAGGCTGGCAGAGTTTTAGGAGTTTCCTCTGCATCCTTGGTTTAGTCATTCTTCCAGCGAATGTTTCCTAATAAACCCAGGACTTCCGCCTGCCGACAAATGGCTCCTGGAAGCTTAACTTCCCGTCTCCCAAGCAGAACCACGCTCCCTGCACCTAACTCCTTAGTCCTGTAGCAGCTTTGGGACTCGGCGCCAGGCAGGCTAGGTCCGTGGTGCTATCTCTCGGTTAGGGGGTGCCCTAGTCCCCAAGTCCTTCTGGTCGGTGGTTGCCGGAGACCTGGGACAGGTACCTGAGTCAGGCCCCGACGTGGTCTGCTCTTTGCAGGCCCAAGCTGTGTCCGTGGCCTCGCCGCAGCGTCGCGGCCCCTCGGGGCTCTCCAGTCTCTGTTGCCCTCAACGGTTCTGGAAGAAAGGGAACAGCTGGCGGAAAAGGCCTTGAATTTGCGCCACACGGCTGCCCGCAGCGTCCTTCTCCCTGGCAGACAGCGCCGCCACTCTCGTGTTTGTCCCCACGGCCGTCGCGCCCACTGCGCTCGGGGTCCGCCTGAGCGTCCACGCAGCGCCGCCGCTGCTGTTGTTGTTGGCGTTGTGGCGCTCACTGCCGCCCGCCGTCTCCCAGTCCTCGGCCCCCGACAGCTCCCGCAGACACCGGGGCGCGTCGGGCGGCAGGTAGTGGCAGGGCCGGTTGCCGCTGTAGTCGCGGCGCGTGGGGTCAGCGCCCAGGGCGCCCACCAGCACCTTGATGACCATGTGGTGGCCCTGCAGAGCCGCCAGGTGGAGGGGCGTGAGGCCACCGCTGCCCGGGACGCTCACGTCGAGACGCAGCCCCCGGCGCTGGGCGAAGTCGTGCACCCGAATGAGCTCCTCGTGGCGCCCGTGCTTGGCCAGCCAGTGGAGCACCGTGTAGCCGGTGATCGGGTCGCCCCGCAGCAGCAGCCCCGGATCAGCCTCCAGCAGCTCCTGCAGCACCTCGAAACGGCCCTCGGCGGCCGCCAGAATCCACGCGTGCTCTCGCGGCTCCAGGCACAGCCCGCTGCCGCCCGGTCCGCTCGGCCCGCCCGGGGACTGCTCCTCGGCGCGCTCCTCCGACAGCCACCCGGCAGGAGCCGCCCCCTGCAGCCCCAGCAGCTCCCGCAGCGCTCCCCGCCGGCGCCCCGAGCCGGCTCCCGAGAGCATCAGCGTGCCGTGGAAGGAGGGCTCCCGGGAGGGGGCGGCGGCGGCGTTGCCCCGGTACCTGCCCAGGCTGCCGGTGTCCGCTCTCGAGGGGCGGGGCTGCGGGGCGCTCCGCAGGATCTGCGCGGTCGGCGCGAGCGAGGCCTTGGGCGCCGGGTTCGCGGCCCCTCGGGGCTGGGCCATGGTCTTGCAGCTGCAGCCGCGGCCCTTCCCGGGCCCCACCGGGAGAGGAACTGGCGCTGGCGTTGGGGAAGGAAGCGGCTTGAGCAATTGGGTTCGGAGGGAGGGAGCAAAGGAGAGGAGGAGGAGGAGGGAGGGACGGAGGGAGGGAGCGAGCTAGGGGAGGGCCCCCGCGCGGGCGGTGGCGGGGGGCGTGGAAGGGTAGGAGCTCCGGCCAAGTCCCCAGGGCAAGCCCCGCTCCAGCACCCGGGGTATCGCGGCCAGCGCAGCTCCCCCGGGTCGCGGGCGGCCCCGCCCCAAACGGCCAGGTGAGCCGGCAGCCCCGCCTCCGGCACGGCGCGGGCAGCGGAGGGGCGGGCGCGGGGGCGGGCGCGGGGGCGGGCTGGGAGCCCGCCTGCTGCTCTTGAGGCCCGGGCTGTCCTCAGCATCCCAGCAGCTGCTGGGGTGGAGAGGCTCTAGGGCGCCTCCTCCCCGGCGGGCTGAGCTGGGCTCCCAGTCCTGGCCACCGAGAGCGCGATCCTTGAGCTCCAGGACGCTGGCTCCCCGCCCCCTTCCTTCGTCCTTCCCTCTTATCTGTTCAGGAGTCTCCCTGCACTTTGTCCCCGAGCCGCCTTTGTCCCGCGCCTAGTATTCACGGAGGCAGCTCGGTCGCCTCATGTGACTCTGGCTTGTCTGCCCTGCCCTTTGTGCAGCCTTGACCCTCCACGCAGCGCCCGGGGCTGCCCGGGATTCCAGGGAACTGAGAAAGGGTATTCCCCCGCTGCCCCGGGGCTCCCGATTCCGCTCTCCGCTCTCTTCTCCCCTCCTCGTTAACTTTCCCGGTTGGAGTAGCAGCTACAGGTGATTCTAGGCCTGAGCCTGAGCAGGAACGCCCTGCCCTCTTCAGATATGCATCCCCGCCCTCTCCCAGAGGGACCTGCCATTTACAAATTCAGAGCTTAGGGGCTTTTTTAAAGAGGAGGATATTGTATCTTTTTTACTCCTAACACCAGCATCCTTTTTGCTCTTCCTTTCCCTCAATAAATGCTAGTTCTTGCCTCTGCCCCCCACCGTGTTAAGAAGTTCAGTCAGTGAGCAACAGGGAGCCATTGAAGGTTCTTGAGCCAGGGACTGTCACAGCCAAGATTAAGGTTGTGTTAGGACGATGATTCTGGGAGAGGCAGAGGCAGGAAGCCAGGAGACTGTTCCAGCAGTCTAGGCCAAGGGGGATGCACGTTCAGGCCAAGCCAGCCCACTCCCCTGGGCCCACCTGTGGCACCAGTGATGGAAAGTGTCAGAGGCTTTTCCTCCTTGGCCCTCACATATTTGGGACCAGGCTTAAATATCTTGAGCTTTCCTTCATGACAGCTTATGCATTTGTAATTCATTTTTGAACATTTACTATGTGCCAGACACTGTGTTTGATGCTTTACCTATGTTAACTCGTTTAATTCTCCCAATGACCTTAGGAGCTAAGTGTCATTACTATCCCCAGTTTGCAGAGAGATTAGGCCACTTGCTCAAGGTCACTCAGCAGGAAGTGGCAGAGCAGGTCTGTGTGACACCATAGTCTTTGTTCTGGCACAGGGGACTGGCATTCAAGCCAGGCTTATCAAGTGCAAATCACTCACACAGGCCCCAAATTCCAGCCAAACGGATGGACTAGTCATAAGCTGAGCATATCTATAACTTGCCCTCCTCTACCTGGAATGCCCCCTCACAGCGTCTGAAGTTCTCCCTGTCTGTCAAGGTTGGCTTCAGTTGCCACCTTGTCCAGCAAGCCTCCTCTGATTACCCCAGCCCAGAGCAACCCCTCTCCTTCCTTCTGTTTCCACGACTCCTTTGGTGCTCAGGATAGACTGTCTTTTGTCACATTTCTCTCTCCTTTCTCTGACATGCCAGTTAAACTATAAACTCTTAGACAACCATGTCATTCAATCCTTGTGTGCCTAGTAGGTACCCAAGAAATATTAATATTTGTTTCCTTGTTCTGGTTTGGCAGCCTGGGAAAATGTGATCGTGTACGTGTCTGTTCCGGGGAGGGTGCATCCCTGCCTCAGACTGAATCTGCGGGATGCCAAAAACAACTCATAGATTTGGTTAATTCATGAAAAAAAGAAAATAGTGATTAAGTAGTTTCCTCACCCAGCCACCTGGTCAAAGCCACCACCTCCTCGCCTTTGCTGATTCCTCAGACACCAAACCCAGGCCCAGAGTGGGCCCCAAGCTTTCAGGCTTTCATTTTCAAAATGAACCCTGAGTGACAAGCAGCTACTTCCGTTGTCAGGAAACTCCCCTTCGCAGCCCCAAATCTGTAAACACCAAATCACACACATACACACATACTTCCAGAATATGCAAACAGCTACAGCAATATTTTTTTTAATTAAAATGGAGAATGCAGGATGGAAGAATGCTTGCACTATTAATTTTCCTCACCACTAAGCAGGCAATTCTCTTCCCTATCAGCATTAAATAATATCTCTGGTTCCAGTTCAAAGACTGTAAAGGCAGCTGCCTGACCAGTGCTGCAGATCCGTGACGCACGTGCCCTTGCTTAACTCGGTTGCCAGAGACCAAAGCCATGGTGCCTCCCTAACAACTCATTTCATTTTTACTTAGCAAGTGCTTTCTAGCCTAGGTCACCAGCTGCACACACTAGTCCTCAGACCCACAGCACCAGTCTCTATTTCAGTAGAGAGGGTCTCTGGAATTTGATACCGGGAAGTGGGGGAGAGGAACTGGGGAGCAAAAAGGATAATACAAACCACCTAAAACTAAAATTCCAGTCGCCTGAAACATCTGCTCCCCCTCCAAGGGAGTGGGGCAAAAACCCCTGAAGCCCTTGGAAATGACCTCCCAAAAAGTTGAATGTAGGGTGGGTATTTGCATTGCAAATGGTAATACCTGGTGTCTTTTCCAAATAGCAGCCTCTCTAATATATTTACAGGGTTTGTTTACCGGTAAATATACACTAGTGCCTGGACTATTAGAACTAGAAGAGATCTTAATGTTTCATTGGTCTTTATTTTCCAGATGAGGTTTAACTAACTGTGGGAGAGGGTGGCAGGAGGCAGAGAAACTTAAAGCTGAAGGGTTAGGTGTACCTCAAAAATCAATCTGGATGCAGAGAGAGCAGCTCAGAAATCTTACTGGAAGTCAGTGGGGAATCATAATTGATTTGCAAAAATTTAATTGACATGCATCTTCTCAGGAACATGCCCCTTGGGTGAAGCCAAAGGTTTGTGTATCCTTGGCTCTCAGGGGAGTTTGCCAGGGGGGCTTATGGATTCAGAAGAATCCACGGGTACAAAACAGGCAAGAGGGGGACATGTGGAATATGGGAAGTAAAGTCCCTCAGACTTCCCTAACCCTCGGTCGTTGAGAAAATAGGGAACATTCTTGAGGTTGCAGATATATAAGTTTCCTTTCCTCTAAAGGCCCGTGCTCATATCATCACATGATTCTCAATGAGAGAAAGCTGCTTTCTGAGTGTGACTGTGTGTGCAAGAGAGGGTGTTTGAGTGTGTGGGGATACGTGTGTGCGTGCACTGCCGGACGTCACTGTCTCTGGTTGCCATTTTCCCCTTCCCAGGTTCAAGGCTTTACACGAGGAGATCTCATTTTGAACACCTTTTACTTAGACTGTGGAACAAGTCATATTGAGTAAACACTTCTCTCCTGGTGCTTTGGAATTACTCTCCCTGCACTGCCCCCCGTCGCCCCCCGCCAGGCCTTCAGTAAAACCTGATGTACCCAATTAGAAAAAAATAGTTACAATCTTATTTTGCTAGCTAGGTAAGCTTGGAATAGTAGAAGTTAGTAGGAGCAAGCTGACACATTTGTGAGCCACAAGATTAGGACTTCTCAAAATGACTGAGGAGAAATGGGGGTGGGCAGGGAGCAGGAAGAAATCTTTAGGCGAGTGGAAGCAGGAAACCTGCCTAAGACTCGAGCTGGAACGACTTAACCGGAGCCCAGCGGTCAAATATGGGCCCTGAAGTGTGACGAGAAAAAAATTTCCATTACACACTTTATTGATACTGCGATTAAGAGAATGCCACATCCTGGAAAAGACCTAAAGTATTACCATGTGGAGACACACGAGGGCGCTCTAACCGACTAGTGAGCGAGAAAACCAGAAAGGCGGCGCAGGTTTCAACCTGAGGGGAAAGAGGCATCACAGGCGCTTTGTTGATGTGAATTCAGGCTTCTACCCTGGAACCGGCTGCTCACCTTTGGCCCTCAAGGAGCTGCGAGGAAGGAGGTACAAGCACCAGGGGCTGTGGTGAGAAAGCCTTGGTGTGATCTTGAAGAGACTGTGAACAATCTGGAGAGAGAGGGAGGACAGTGAGCAGTACAAAGTGGTTCCTTACTTTATTCAAGAGAATTTGGCTTCTGTAATATGTAAGGCTTGGAATCATGCTCTCTTAACGGTTTTCAGAGTGCTTTTTTATTTTATTTATTTTTTTTTTTTTTGAGACAAAGTCTCACTCTTTTGCCCGGGCTAGAGTGAGTGCCGTGG